GCAAATCCTTCCAACTTTTGTAATTTTCTCCTGATGTCTGGAGCAGACTGCAAGACAAACGCCATGGCTACCATACACTGATTTTCTGCAGCTTCGGGGTCAAAGGGAGTATATACTCGATAGGCTTCCATCAGCCTTTCTAGGAAGTCCCCGGGGCACTCATCTGCCCTCTGGAGCACTGTGGCTACCTTGGTCATATTAGTCTGCCTTTGGGCTGCCACGCTAACTCCCTGGAGGAGGGAGTGGCGATAGAGGTCAAGGGCCACCCGACCTTGTTCAGTGTTTGGGTCCCAGGCTGGCTGCTGCTCAGGTGCAGCTGCTTGAGCATAGTCCAAAGGGTCTAAGGTCCTGGCTGGGGCATGCGCCTCTAGAAATTGCTGGGCCTCTAGGAGGATCTTTCTCCTCTCCTCAGTGTTGAACAAGGTGAGGATAAGCTGGAGGCAGTCAAACCACATTGGCTGGTGGGTTTGGAAGATGGAGTCTACCAACTCTATCATTGCTTGTGGTTTCTCTGAAAAGGGTGGTGTGGGGTGTTTCCAGTTCAACAGGTCAGTCGTACTGAAAGGTTAATAATAGTACGTGACCGGACCTGGTTGGACCGTCCCATCATCATTTATGCGGGGCGCTGCCTAAACTTCCCTGAGGGGCATCTGGAATGGACCCTGGTGGTGGCTTCTCAGGCGAGCCGCCATTGGCGGCAAGTCTGGTCAGGGCTGAGGCAGCACAGGGTAATGGGCCGCCCCTTGCTCTTGAGGCTGCTGCTGAGAGACTGACTGGGGTGGTGTCAGGGGCTCAGCTGGCGGTGCCGTCAGGGGTGCAGGTGACGCTCGATAGGGGGGCAGCTGGAGGACAACTAATTCATCCTTCTGGGAGGGGTCTTGGTGTATGGGAGGCCTGGGTCGAGCCACTAAGATGGCAGATGAGCCACTGCTAGATCGGGAGCAGCAAGCTCGAGATCTTGTTCACCCCCTCTCTCTAGCGCCTCTCGATCGTCCCTGCACCCCTGCGCACTGGCTCAGCCACTGAGGCATGTCCTGCACTAATTCCTGCCATCTGTCTATATAGGGGAACTGATCTGGGTGTCCTGGCTTCCCTGTGACTACGACATGGACTGCCCTAATTGTGGAGAGGTTCAAAGTTCCCTCTGGGGGCCAGCTGACTCTGAAGGTTGGCCATTCTAAGGTACAAAATGTTTCTAGCTGGTCAGCATTTAGGGACGGGTCTTGTCCCTTGAATCTACTAAAATTCTGCAGCACGCAGTCTAAGATAGTGGGCGGCTTTCCTCCCATTTTTGAAGCCTCCCACGCGACGCGGACACACAGAGGGTGGGGTTGACTCGCTTGTCCGCCTGGCCTGCTCCATCGTGGGACGAAGTCGGTCTTGGATAAGGTTGCCCCAGCAGAATTTGGGGTTAGCTGCCAACCGTTATGCTGTATGACCTGACACAGGAACCACAGGTTGGGACCCACTTTTGCTCCATAGGACCAGCCCATGGAGCCACAAACACAGTCACACACACTTTCACACTCAAGCACTCTGAGTTTAAGCAATCCCTCCCTGAGTAAGGGTCAAGTGGTCGGACTCAGCATAAATCTGACCCAAAGTTCTAATTTGAGGTGATCAGCCTCTTTCCAGTCTCGGATCAAGTCCCCGGGGCACTCACTGATCTGGTGCCTTCTGTCAGGTTGTAATCCAAAACCCTCGCTTCCCGCCTGGAGTGCGGGCCCGTGGCTGTCGCCCCAACCAGACGGGGCCTAAGAAATCTCAGGGCACGTGCTTCCCCCCCCCCGGGGCTTCCCAAGTTGGTCCTCCAGCTGCCTCCCCATTCATCCAGTTGGCGGCAAGACGACACGAATTTGTGTGAGGTCACTTCCCGGTCAGGGAACCAAATGTTATAGGAAAATGAAGCAACCAGACACCGAGGGATTCTGGAGTACAAGGTTTATTATTAATGTGCACGGGCCCAGAGGAGTCAGTCTCCAAATTCTGAGCCCCGAACAAAGGATTCTTGGGGGTTATATAGCCTAGGGGTCTTCCTGTCTATGTGGCAAAGCGGGATACAGAAGCAGTATGCGATAATTAGTTCTATCTACAGGGCTGAAGCAGAGTACAAAGGCTAAATGTGAAAATTGGTTCTATCAGCGGGGGTGCTAGTCCCAGTCCTAGTGACTATCCAGCTATTTGCTTTTCCCAGACGGCCTTATTGTTCTCCTATGGCGCCTGGGGTCTTAGGTGAGCAAAGGTCTCCTAGGGTTTCTCCCTTCAGTTCCTCTACTTTGTGACTAAAATCAACCAGTTCTGTGAGCATCCTGATCACCAGTGTTTTGAACTGTGCATCTGATAGTTTGGCTATCTCTTGGTCACTTAGAAGTATTGGCTCTGGGGCTTTGAGCTGTTCTTGAGCCATGTTTTGGTCTGTTCACACCTGTTCCATATGAGGGGTGGAGTCTTAGGTGTTCACCATGGTGGGGCAACTCAGTTGCTGGGTTTTGATGCTGTATGTGGGGGCGAAGTCAGAGAGGGGCAATTACGTTTATTCTGGTCTCTGATTTTGGTCCCCTCTGGTGCTTCCCGCAAGCAAACCAGGGTCCCGCTCCTGGGTGTGTGGGCCTGTGCACCCTCCAGGACCCTGTGGGTCTCTCCAACAAACTCTTTTTGAGCCTGGGAGCTTCTCCCAGCATCTCGACCCTGAAAGTTTCTCCAGTTGATGCTTTCAGGCTTTACTCCCGGCGCTGGGGTCCTAATCTGCATGGTCTGTCTCATTGCTTGCTCCTTCGTCTGGTTTGTATGAGTGTGAATGTGTGATAGTGGTCAGCCAGCCAGCCAGCCACCTTGGGGCCCCATTGGGTCTGCCTGCCGCCACCCCACACCTGGGATCCGCCAACTGCCGCCTGTGCTCCTGGGTCGGTCAGGCTGCTTTTTCCTGCGCGGTACCTCTCCACCAGCTGCTGACTCTGCCCCTCTTACTGGTCTGGCTGAAGGGTTTGTTATCGTTGGACTTCTGTACAATTCAGTTTTCTGTGTTTTGATTATTACTAAAACTTTGTTGTCTTTAAACTTGGTTGTGCGAGGAGGCACAGTGTTTCCATCTATGCCTCCATCTTGGTCCGGTTTTATAATATTCTTAATTCACATTTCTTTATTCTCATCCTCATCCTCCTCCAATTCCTAATTGGCTGGTGCTCTTGTGGTCTCTGAAGCTGGCCACCAGATATGTTGGTTCCAGGGCATCTTAGGAGAGGCTCCATTGCAGGACAAGTCAACTTCTGCCTGTTTGGCCCAAAGCCACCTAATAGGAGCTACAAAGTGATCTGCATTTGGTTGCTGCCTGTACTACCAGGTGCCGAGTTATGCTGTGTACCGAGGCCACCTGCTATCAGCATGAGGTTTGGGGCCACTTAGTAACAGATACAGGACAAGCTGAGACCAGACATTGTTTGTTTGGGTTTTATGGACCTTTGAGAATTTTTAGGAAGAGTCCATATCTTTGGCACTATTGCTCTGGACTGGGAGCCCGGTGTGGTACTGGGAGCCCTCACTCCTCAGTAGGAACCTCTGCAACCAAACCATTTCTCCTGATTCTTAACTGTCCACATGTGTGGACATGTGAGTGGGACCAGCACATTTTATGTCTCTGCCCCTAGCACAAGATTTGACATGGCTTCTTCTTTATATCCTTTGTTATAGAACTTCTGTTCTACTCGACTTCAGGTGATTCTCAGGGGTAGTTGTATAACTGGGTATCCTAGGGTCCAGCCTCTTACCACCTTATACACAAATAACACGAAGATTTGTGGGGAAGGAAATAGGTTTTTATTAACAGGGTAACCAATTTAAGGGGGCTGGGAGCATTCCTGTTCTAAGCCATCCTGACCCACAAAACGCAGAAAATCAGCTACCTCCAGGACCAGAGTCATTGTCCAAACAACTTGCCCCATATTATCTGTCCTTTTGCAGTTCCAAGATGGCAGTTACACGAATGTGTCTCCATCCTCAGACTCACTGTGCACACTTGTGGGTTTCAGCATTGCCATTGCCTCGCAGAAGCTTTTTCTCTTTCTCAGGGCCTGGGCTGTGCTGCCAGATCACTCCAATCAGTTGCATGGGAAGCTCCATCCTTGGGGCATTGGGGCCTGAGAGTGCCTGTACACTTGAGGTTGAAGCACTTACCAGCTCATGCCTCCACGGGTTGCTCCCAGCCTCTATACACTGCTCTCAGGGTGAGCCCAAGGGCTGGGGTCAATTGAGGCACACATCCCAGCATGGGTCTCTGGAAGCTGGCTTCTGATCATGTGAGACATAAGCACTGAGCACTCCCGCCCATGGAAGAGAGCCCCCAGGCTTCTGCCTGTGTTGTTTTAATGTCCTCTCCCCAAATCCCATGCATTGTGGGAGTGTCCAGCTTTTCAACCAATGTGGGCCATATCGGCCATATTTGACTTTGCCCATCTTTCTGGCCACCATGTTGTGGAAGTGGGGCAAAAGTTTCTCATCCAAGTACAAGGGCACATGTTTGCCCAGGGTGGGGTGTCCGGCCCCCACAGCTCATGCAGGCTACTGTGCAGCCTGTGTCACCAGCTGCATTGATTGTTACAGTAGCCCCATGGTGTGGGAAGGCCGTCACAAGGTTTCAGCTGTGATTTCAATCTCTATTTTGGGGCTTCCCTTGACCCTTCCCCCTGCCTTCTTAAGGAGAATGCAGCCTCTATGCCATATCAGGGTTTCTCCCTGCCCTGATCCAGTGATTTGCTCAGACCCACCTGTTAAAAGTTGTTCTATAATTTAGTGGTGAATTTGATGTGGTCATGGGAGTAGGCCAGCACTGTGTTTATCTACACTGCAATCAACCAGAAGTCTCAAAAGGCATTTTTTAAAATAAATACTTAGGGCAACATCATCATGAAAAATAGGTTAATTCCTCTTTAAATTACAAGAAAATATAATATTTGAAAAGTATAAGTAAAAATATTTAACAATTCTTTGAAATTGCATGTTTTCAGAGTGTTTTGCCAACAACATGCTCCATCAAGAGAAACTCAATCTGGTAAGTCTCTAAAATTTAAGATTATGGGTTTAAAGAAAGGTAAACATTTAGGTAAGACATAAAGTAGCCTGATTTACTAGCCTCACTGAATTAAAATACAAATCTGAATTAAAATTTTACATATGAAATTTTCAGTGTCTTCACACAATATGCAATATAATTTACTAACTTTTATTATTTGTGAACTAGGCCTACTCTCAGTAAAGCTATTGTCTGGTGTCTTCCATCCTCACTGCAATCAGAAGATGACACCAAGACAAGGGAAAAACCTCTGCCTTTTGAAATTCCTTCTTTTCTAAAAGAATATCAGAATTTTATTCTTTTAATCCTCACCCAAGGATATGCTTTTTACTAATTTTTGAGAGAGGAAGGAGGAGAGAAATATTACTTGGTTGCCTTCTGTAGGTTCCCCCATCATGGATCCAACCCGCAACCTAGGTATGTGTCATACTAGGATCTGAACTTGCAACACTTCGGTGTATGGGATGATGCTCTAATTGAGCCACCTGGCCAGGGTGACTACCAGCATTTTTAGTAGATAAAATTGATAAAGTACTTCATGGTCCCTAAATAAGTATCCTAAGAATGCATAGCTAACATTTCAGTTTTAAAATTGGCCCCTGGCTAACTGGAACTGTGGGGTGTACATTCACTCATGAATGGTTTCTACATTCTCTGAAGTAGCAGTGTCGTACCAGCACTGGACAAGGAATGTTCCTTGTAGGCTGGAGTCAGAACCTCTTGGTAAAAGGACCAATTCTGTGTCATGCTAACTGCATTTTGTGGTGGTAAACAACACTTACCAAACATCTTTCAGTTTTTTTAATAGCCTGATGTTTGGGGGAAGAATAATAAGATATCCTAATTTATGTTCTTTTGAACTATGTGTTGCAAGTAGGAATTTGGAGTGCCTCATATGTAGTAAACATTGGCCCCAGTTTTGGTCCTAATGAGGTTGGACTGGGGACATACATCACACTCCTTAGGAATAATTTGGTATGCATAAAATAAGCTATTGAGACTAAATGCCATTCCAGTGCAATATCCTTTTTTTAACTTTGATTTTTTTTGCTTTTTAGGAAGCCTTTTAACTTATTAGGAAATACTATGAAAAGTATTGTCAGTCAGTGTTTATTGACAGGGAAAGAAGAATAATGTATTAGTTTTAAAAAATAGATTATAACACTGTAGCAAATCCTTTCCCTCAAAGGATTATTTTGAATTCTTCCCAAAATTTTCTGTGTATACAAACATACCTGTTATTGTACTTTTCACTTTTCACTTAATATATCCTAGAAATCCTTCTGTATTAGCATGAGTGGATCTACCTCACTCTTAAAAGGCTGCATAGTAATCTATTGTGTGTATTATTCAGTCACATAGCTGAACCAAAATTGAACTAGCTTCTGCATGTTGGACATTTTAGGTTATTTCCAGTTTTTTTCTATCACATTTGATATTATAGTTAGCATTTTTCTCCATTCAAGTTTGTGTCTTAATGCAACTGCTATTAGGAAAACTTCCTGTAAGTAATTTGCTGAATCAAAGAGTATAAACAATGAAACTTTGGATAACTATTGACCAACTGTCTTCCGAAGAGGCTGTACCAACACTACATAATTACTCAAATACTTGCAAACATTATATATTAAGCACCTACATCTTTGTCAAGCTGATAGGTAAAAAAATTGAGTTACTTTGCATGTCTTTACTTATGGGTAACCCTTTTAATAATTTATTTTCCTGTCACCAAATCTTTTTCTATTCAATGAATCTCTCCCCTGAGGTTTCCCCATATGCCCATTTCTCTACTGAAATGTCTTTTTGGTATTGACTTATGAGATCTTTTTATATTTTTTAAATTGGCCTTATTACATCATATGTGTTGCACCATTTAGTCTACATTTGCTGTATCTTTTGACTTTGTAGTAACTTTTGGCATATTAAAGTGCAGTCAAGCATCAGTCTTTTCCTTTATGGATTCTGGCTTCTACACGATTTATATTTTCAGTTCATTTTCCAAGAGTGAAAAGAAAAAGAGGAAAGAAGAAAGGTCTCTCAACAAGCATTCCTATACAGGTATTTGGACTTAATTTTATTACAGCTATAAGTTTCTTCTATCAACATCCTCATTTTTTTAAAACAAAATTTTAAAAAGATTTTATTTATTTTTAGAGAGAGGGGAAGGGAGGGAGAGAGGGAAAGAATCGTCAATGTGTGGTTGCCTCTTACACACCCCTACTGGGGACCTGGCTTGCAACCCAGGCATGTGCCCTGACTGGGAATTGAACCAGCAAACCTTTGGGATTCATAGGCCAGCACTCAATCCACTGAGCCACACCACAACATCCTCATTTTAACCATTCTGGATTTCAGGTGAAGTGATGATAGAACCATAAGAAATGAATATTAAAGACAAGATGTGTATTAGATACCCAAGTACATAATTCAGGAGATGATAGTCCCATAGCTCTTGTACACATCCCCAGTACCAAATTAGTAAGAAGAATATGAGTCTGGGGGTTGCTTATGGTCTTAAAATGGGCAGAGATACAGTTGAGCACCCTTACCTAGCCAAGTATTTCCCCACTGCATGACCCATACTTGACCTAATTTATAACATAATTTTCTGGATTACTACTATGTGTAAAGCATATGAAACCGTTTTGAGGATTTCAAACAGTGTTTTACACATCAGCTCATATAAGCTAAATTAGTATGAATCAACAATGTTCACCATCTGCTGTTTATACAAAAGGTGCTTGCCACAACTCTTGATGTATTATTATATAAAACAAAAATACATTTGATTTTACATCTACAGATGAATATGGGGCATGATTTTCATCATAGGCATATCACTGAATTATATATAACAAAAGATTAGTTTTTCATTTTATGCAACATTAAATGCCAACAGTAAAATCTGTGTAAAATAATCATGATTTTTCTGTCCTTCTAGCTACATTAACCAATGACATTAAATAAGTCCACAAAACAAATGAATGAAGAGGATGGAAGAAACACAGGTTTGCTACAAGTTTTGTCTGTAACAAATGACCTATATATTACAAAGTTGGCATCCCATTTTATTCTTCTAGGCTTGTAATAACTAATTAGAAGAGTAAAAAATTTTGTTTTAACTACCTACTTTATTATAGCCCCAGCAGATCAAACTAAACTAGGTTGGGATGTTTCGTAACTCTTTAGTATTAACAAAGGGACATTTTCTGTTAGAGAAGCCAAGGTTGCCTGAGGTCAGAATACAGTGATTTCCCAACCCCTCACACTGCTGATTCCCTGCTTTGCAGGTAGCTGTAACCAGTACCTGTAGATTTGTTCTTTAAGCAGACAGACATCCCATAACAACACATAGTAACTAACTGAAAAAATGACAGTGTCTATCATCTCAAAGATTTGAAGCTAAATTTTAGAAAATTATCTTGATTCATATTATTCTAAACAGAATTTTCCACATTTTCATAACATTTCATTATTTCAGCTAGAAAAATGAAGTATGATGAAATTACAATTAATAGTAAAACTAAAGGTACTGTATGTATATATTTCCTTAACTAATTATGCTCAGCTACCAGTAAGCAGGCCTGAAACAATGGCCATAAAACATTCCTTCTGTAATTTTTTTAATTGTTATGTTGGGGGAAATTGATATCTGTTTTAAAATATAGCATAGCAATTAGGGGACTGTTTTTTACAGCCCGGATGTTTAACAGCCCAGTGATTTACCTTGTTTCTTCTAGCTTATCGCCTACATACCAGAGATAGTGAAGCAAGCGCTCTGCTTTCTGCTTCTATAAATTATCTCCCGCTTTGGTCTGAAGGAGAGGCCTCCCCCTTGCTCTATCCCCCCCCCCCTCTATAAAACGGCTGCTTTCCCTTTGTTCGGGGCTCAGAATTTGGAGACTGACTTTTATGGGCCATGCACATTAATAAACCTCCTATTCCAGAAACCCTCGGTGTCTGGTTGCTTCATTTTCCTGCAACAGTTAGACGCAATTGTGAAAGCTGCTTTCCTTAAGAAATGTAAGGATGCAGGACTTCTTAATGATTTATTTGAAGAAATACTAGACAGACTTCATTCGATTAAAGAAAGACTTATGGATGAGACTACTTCAGAACAGGTACTAAAACACCAAAATTCCTATAGAGACTTCTCACAGACCTCCATGTAAAATAAAACAAAATAAAAAACATGTACACATTTCCTGAGATATTCTTTTCCTTCTTGGTCTCATTAATAAAATCCATTGTTCCAGATCTCTTGTCTTTTATAAATCAACAGGATGTGGGTAATTCACAAACTCATTAATTTCATAAAAACTACGAATTCCCTGAAAGTTTCCATGTATTTTCCCTGAAGTACCTAGCTGAGAGTAACCAGCAAAAGATGAGCACTTCAGAAATTCAAGTCACACATCCCCACCCCCACAGCTGAGCACACTTGTTGCTAAAATCTGAGAATGGAGTTATGTTAGTTTTGATTTGACTCAAATTCTGATCCTTAATAAACCAAGTGTTTTTGGGGGGTATTGTTCAAGTTTAGAGTTATAAAGTAAGTAATTACAATGTCCAGATTGATGTTTGGCTTAGTTAACTGTGACCTTTCTTTAGGAGCTCTTTGGGAAACTCAAGTTCCATTCATATGTGCAGGTATATAGCCACTTAGCTTTCTTATGACCTATCTTCTGAGCTTAAGACCTTAATTGTAAATATAGCTTAACAGAAAAGCCTGAGAGTCTATATTTTTAGGCAGTGATATAAAATAAATTATTTGGAAGGGATTATTTTCTGTAGTGCAAAACCAAAAAATTAAATTAAGAGCAAATATTTCCAAAAGCTCATTCATTTCATTCTTGTTTATTCTTTTGTCTAGAGAGACCAAGCACTTCTCAGACTTGAGCATGCCCCTCAGAAACACCTGGAGGGCTTGTTAAATCACAGATAGCTGGGCCTCACCCCTGGAGATTCTGATTCAGTAAAGGTGCCACTAATTTGCATTTCTAACAAGTTCCCAGGTGAGACTGCTGCTGCTGCAGTCTTAACACTAAAGATCTACAATAGAAAAATGCTCTGTTTACTTTTCCTTTTGGCGGGTTATTTTGTGAGGTTTCTGCCCTTATAATTAAAACTGAAAATGTTTTTCTCCTTCCAGACTATGAAGAAATTGGGACTTCACTTTTTGACTGTAGATTGTTTGAAGACACATTTGTACATTTTCAAGCAGGTATATGAGTTACAATCAAGCAACAAAGTTTATAAATATTTATCACATATATTGAATATAATAGTGTTCAGGTGATAAAATTGTATTTCAGTGGACACACTGTTTTATTAAATGAAAGGCCCACTATAAAATAGTACGACCTCTCTCTCTGTCTCTCTCTCTCTCTCTCTCTCACACACACACACACACACACACAAATATGTAAATACATACGGGGCATATATGCACACAGAAAAACTGCACCCTATGGAACAGTACTTATCTGTAGGTAGCTGGATTATGGTGATTTCTTTCTTTTTTTTTAATATTTTTTATTGATTATGCTGTTACAGTTGTTCTATTCCCCCCTTCATTCCCCTCCACCCTACCCCCCCATCCCCACCGTTACACCCCTTTAGTTTATGACCATGTGTCTCAAGTCCTTTAGATTCTATATTTCCCATGCTATTCTTGCCCCCCCTTCTATTTTCTATCTACTGTCTATGCTACTTATTTTCTATACCTTCTCCCCCCATCTCCTCCTCCCACTCCCCTGTTGCTAACCCTCCTTGAGATCTTCATTTCTATGTTTCCACTCCTGATCTAGCTGTCCTTTTAGTCTGCTTTCGTTTTAGGTGTGGTTGTTAATAACTGTGAGTTTGTTGTCCTTTCACTGTTCATGTTTGTTTAACTTCTTTTTCTTAGATAAGTCCCTTTAACATTTCATATAATAAGGGCTTGGTGATGATGAACTCCTTGAATTTGATCTTATCTAAGAAGCACCTTATCTGTCCTTCCATTCTAAATGAAAGTTTTGCTGGATAGAGCAATCTTGGTTGTAGGTCTTTGGATTTCATGACTTGGAATACCTCTTTCCAGCCCCTTCTTGCCTGTAAGGTCTCTTTTGAGAAATCTGCTGACAGTCTGATGGGGACTCCTTTGTAGGTGACTGTCCCCTTAGCTCTTGCTGCTTCTAGGATTCTCTCCTTCATTTTAATTTTGGCTAATGTAATTATGATGTGCCTTGGTGTGTTCCTTCTTGGGTCCAACTTCTTTGGGACTCTCTGAGCTTCCTGGATTTCCTGGAAGTCTATTTCCTTTGCCAGATTGGGGAAATTCTCCTTTATTATTTGTTCAAATAAGTTTTTCAGTGGTGGCTGTGCCTTTCCCCCTTCTGGTACCCCTATAATTCGGATGTTGGAGCGTTTAAAGATGTCCTGGAGGTTCCTAAGACGCTCCTCATTTCTTTGAATTCTTGCTTCCTGACTCTTTTCTGTTTGGCCATTATTTGCTTTCTTCTGGTCCACTCCATTGATTTGAGTCCCAGTTTCCTTTTCATCGCTATTGGTGTCCTGTGCAATTCCATTCATTTCAATTAGTTTCGCCTTCATATATTTGTCTAATTTGTCGGTATAATCAACCAGTTCTGTGAGGATCCTGATGACCAGTGTTTTAAACTGTGCGTCTGAGAGTTTTGCTATTTCTTCATCGCTTAGATCTATGGGCTCTGGGGCTTTGAGAACTTGCGACATTTTTGGTCTGTTCTGGCCCTTTAAGTGTGAGAAGCGGTGCCTTGGACTCCCAGGTCGCTGGGTTGTGACGCTGTACGTGGTGGTGTGGTCAGAGCGGGGAAATGGCGGCGCCCTCTACTGCCACTTGCCACGGGGACCGCCGGGTCCCCAGTCAAACTGCCCACTCCCTCGCCTGTCCGCTCGCACACAAATGGGTGACCACAGTCAACACGCAGCACCGCTTCCCCTCTGTCTCCTTCGCAGTTGCTCGCCTGGTGGCTTGCTCGGTCGCTCACTAGGTCCAAACCTGCGCCTGGATTCTGCGCATCTGGATTCCGCGCCTGAGTCCGTCTGACCGAGCCCTCCTGTGCAACCCCTCACCAGCCGCTGGTTTCACCCCTTACCGGTCAGGCTGAAGAATTTGTTGTTAACGGACTTCCGAAAAGTTCAAATTTCCGTGTTCTGGCTGTGTTTTCTGTTGCTAATATTTAGTTGTCTCTAAACTTGGTTGTGTGAGAAGGTACGGCACATCCACCTATGCCTCCATCTTGGCGGAAGTCCCTGGTGATTTCTTTTGTCTTTAATACCGTGTTGTATTTTCCACATTTCCTTCTTTTTAATTATTTAATAATTGGATAACTAAGGTCTTTTTAAAAAAAGATTTTGTTTACTTCAAGAGAGGGGAAGGGGAAGGAGGAAGAGAGGAAGAGAAACATCAATGTGGGAGAGAGATGCTTTTCATAAGCCCCCAGTTCAGAACCTAGCTTGCAACCCAGGCAATGTGCCCTGACTGGGAATTGAACTGGTAACCTTTCAGTTGGCAGGATGGTGCTCAATCCACTGAACCATACCAGTCAGGGCTACATTTTCTAACATACGTATAATACTTTGTGTAGAAATGACAAAAATTTATTGCAAAATGGCAGAATATTTGGGTACCATGTTCAGGAATGAAAAGTAACAGGTGAAGAGTCTTTTGGACTCTGCCCTCAGGCAGCCAGGCTGTGACAAATCAAGCTGCCACTTGTCTTCCTCTCACTTGGTATGATATACACATACTTTAATTCTTCCAACATTAATCTGCAAATCCAATGGGAATGGGAGTTGTGACTGATTAAAGCTTACTAAAAAATGAGCAAGAATAGCCAAGAAATTTTTGAAAAAGAAGAAAACCTGGTGGAGGCAGAGACCTTTCTATAAAATACCATTATTGAGTAGGTCGTTTTGTCATTGTTTAAGATGCCTTCAAAACAGGCTAAATTTTCACTTATCTGAGAATCTGATCTGACTTCTCCATCAAGGCTGCCACACACAGCTGGGCAGCATGTGCACTGCACATCCAGGTGGAATAGGGGTCAGATTCACACAGAATTTTTGGCAAATGGCTTCCCTGACATTGCACAAATACAGTGACCTACATTCCTCTTCTATGATGTGTCTATTCAGCAAATGGTATTAGGACAGTAAGTTCTCTCTGTGGACAAAATATTAGTTCATATCCCTGTCTCAATATACATAAGCTTTTCTGTTTTGTTTTCATACCATACATTTCTATTTGAATTTTGTATTACATTTATAATCAGCAAAAAAATATTTTAAAAAATCTAGCAAAAATAGTGTAGCTTTTAACAGTGTCTTGAGAATGTCTCCATACTGCTAGGGAGTATCCATGTGTTTTTAAAAGCAGCCTTTAAAATCTTTTTCTAAAAAGCTTTATTTTGTAGTAGACTTTCATCTGTGGTTATTTCTCTTTCATATAAAAGTTGTATCTTTGGAACATGTCACATGTCACTACTTGGGTGGGTGAGTGGGATTATGTGAGGTTACAATGTAGTATTTGTCACCAAGAGGAGACACTTTGTAATCTCATGAGAACCAATTTAAAAGGCTTAACTTTTGATACCCGAACTGATGACGACTTTTGCTTAATTTAACCTTTTTAATGTTCCTGAAAGTTACCTACAGGTATACAGGTGTTCTGATATTAAGTATGAATTAATATTCTTCAGTTTTGAGGTTTTAAAAAATGACATTGCCACTGCATAATCTCCCTAAGTTACCACATTAGAAGTCGTTCTATTAATAAATAAAAGGCTTTTATGTAAATTAAAAATTGGATACATTTGAATGAAAGATTTGCCCTTATCTTTGATATTCTAACCACATGCTCTCTCCAATCATCATCTCTCAACAAAAGGATTTAGTTTAGTATGAAGGTTAAACAGTCGCTGCTTTCAGAGTTTTCAACTATATACAAAAGGCACTTACTTTTTCTACTAAAAATGTACAAATTTTAAAGATTTAATTACCAGCTTTATGTATAATAAAATACTAGAATTCTATGAAGCAAGGACATAAAGGGACCAGTTCCTCCTCACAAGACCATAGAATCTTTTCCTTTGGGGCACAGCACTGTGTACCATGCTCTTGCAAAATGAAAGGGAAATAGAAATTGTACATTATTTATAAAACTATTGAACAGCATGAAATCATTTTTCTTCTTATCATAGCATTAGAAAATAAAATTCATCAATTTTTTAAATAATTGTATTTAGTTATTTTTCAAGTACAGTTTTTTGTCTATTTTTCCCATCCCAGCCTCCCCCGCCCCTTGCTCCCCACCTCCCTCCCATTTCCACACCCCTTAGTTCTCGTCCCTGTGTCCTTCCTATTTGTTCCTCCAAATCCCTCCACCTTTTCCCCCTTAACTTCCCTTCCTTCTCCCCTCTGGTCACTGTCCCCTTGTTCTCTATTTCAGTGTCTTTTTTTTTTTTTCTGCTTGCTTGTTTGTTTTGTTGTTTAGCTTCCTGTTAAATGTGAGATCATATGGTATTTGTCTTTCAGAACCTGGCTAATTTCACTCAGCATAATGCTTTCCAGTTGCATCCATGTTATTAAAATTCATCAATTTGAAGAAAAACGGCAGCAGATGAAGGAAGAGATTAAGCTGCTTCAGGACATAAAACAAACCTTGTGCTCTGTTCAAGAAAACAGAGACCTTAGGTCAAGTTCTACTTCAGTATCTTCTCTATCTTCTTAAGAATTACCATTTCCTAGGCCAGGAAGCTGGCATAGTTGCAAGTAGGTTGAAAACTGGAAACCAAGCTGTAAAAGTAACAGATTTCTAGGACAAGGCCTCTCATGTCTCTCTGGTCTGCAACCTTCAATCCTCACTAGCTCTTATCTCTTCATGCCTAAATGGGTGTTTACTGCTTCTCACTTACTATCTCACTTCTACCTCTCCTCTCTGACAAAGTGTTTCTCAGATTCTACAGTAAATTGGATCCCATCTCTCCCACCCTCTGTTGATACATTGCCTCCTAAAACTACTCTGCTTCAGTGATCTAGGGTGATCTCAGTAACACCAGATGCTCCTAGCCCCAGGTCCTTTTGCAATCCTGTTGTGAAGTTTAAGTGCTCTTTTGCCTTTCTCTGACTGCTCCTTCTACAGATCTCCCACTTATTCGAGCTTAGAGTACTTCCTTCATAACCCACTGTATCTTACATCACATTAGTAAAGAATAAGCTCACTGAGCTCACTACTCACTACTCTGTTTATTCACTATTAAATTCCCAGCACCTAGTGATATGAGAAGCTTTGGAAAACCTTTGTTCATTCAAAACCCCAGGCGCCCTGGGAGAGTGATAAGGCCATCTGGGAAAAGCAAACAGCAGGACAGTCACAAGGACTGGGACTAGCATCCCTGCTGATAGAACTAATTTTCACATTTAGCCTTTGTACTCTGCTTCTGCCCCATAGATAGAACTAATTACCCCATTCCACTTCTGTATCTCGCTTTGCTACATAGACAGGAAGACCCCATAGACTATATAACCCCCAAGAATCCTTTGTTCGGGGCTCAGAATTTGGAGACTTACTCCTCTGAGCCTGTGCACGTTAATAATAAACTTCGTACTCCAGAATCCCTCGGTGTCTGGTTGCTTCATTTTCCTACAACATTTGGGTTCCCTGACCAGGAAGCGACGTCATACAAATTCTGGTCGACTTGCCACGGACTGGATAAGCAGGGAGGCAGCTGGAGGAGGTCCAATTGGGAAAGCGAGGGGTGCACGTGTCCTGAGATTTCTCAGGCCCTGGCCGGCTGGGGAGACAACCACCAGCCCAAACTCTGGGCGTGAAGCTAGGGTTTCGGACTACGACCTGACCCGAGACCAGAGGCGCCAAATTGGTAAGAGCCCCGGGGACTTGACCCGAGACTGGAGAGAGGCTGATCACCTCAAATCAGAAATTTGGGTCGGATTCATGCTGAGTCCGACCACTTGACCCTCACCAGAGGAGGGATTGTTTAAACTGGAGTGCTTGAGAGTGAAAGTGTGAGTGACTGTGTTTGTGGCTCCACGGGCTGGTCCTACGGAGCAAGAGTGGGCCCCAACCTGCGGTTCCTGTATCAGGTCATATGGCATAACGGTTGGCAGCTAACCCCGAATTCTGCTGGGGCAACCTTAGCCAAGACCGACTTCGTCCCATGAGGGAGCAGGCCAGGCGGGTGAAATGAAACCCCCTTCCCTTTGTTTGTCTGCGTCGTTCTGGGAGGATCACCATGGGCAGGGGACCTTCCACTGTGTTAGATTGCATGCTGCAAAACTCTGACTGATTCCGGGGCCAGCAACTGAGCATAGATGCCAGTCAGTTAGAGGTCTTTTGCATCTCTGAGTAGCCAACATTTGGAGTAGGCTGGCCCCCTGAAGGAACACTGAACTTAGGTATAATTAGGATAGTCCACCTCATAGTCACAGGCAAGCCAGGACACCCCAATCAGTATGTTTATATAGACCGCTGGCAGGAATTAGTGCAGGACATGCTGTCAGGGTGCAGGTCAGAAGCATGACAGTGGGAAAGGCTGGTGGTAGGGGAAAAGTGGCTCAATCCAGTGTTTTAGTCGCCCGGTCAAGAGGAACACGCTGCCCCCCATTTCCAAAGGAGAGCCAGAGAAAGAGCCGCTTATCAGTCTGCCTCCCCTATATGCTCTGGAAACTCTTGGCCAGACCCGGGAAGCAAGGACCCTCATCTGCGACCAAGATTCCAGGTCCTGTTGGTCTCTGGAAGCAGAGTAGAGACCCTGCTCAAAGGGGTCGGCCTCTCTAAAATATGCCCCAGTATAACAGAGCAGTGAGGCAGCAGGCAGTGACCCCCCCCTCCGCTGGAGGGACAAGAGGTGGCTGAGGCCCACATGGCCCCCTGCACCTGGTCCTGCTAAAGGGGGTGACAAGGAGACAAGCAGGGCTGCCTCAGCCAAGCCCCGTGATTGAGTCAGGAGTGAGCTGTGAAGACTTCCTGGGCCTGTGCTGGTGGCCCTGGCAGTGGGTCCTTTAAAAAACCAGATACTTCCCGGGAGCAGGAAGCCACCAGATTGCCTAAGAAAAGACATAGACCAGCACACTGGAGCATGGAACAAGACCAGTGTACCTATTGCAGAGAGAAGGGGTACTAGAAAAGAGAGTGCCCCAAAAGGAAAGAAGAAAAGCCCACTGGCGGGCGACAAAGACCAGGGTTACAGGCACCTACAGTCCTTAGGTTAGCTGGCTTAGACCCAGACCAGACTGCCACAGGGCTTCAGAAACTCTCCCACTCCCCTAGGAGAGGCCCTGGCCAGAGATCGAAAATCATTTACTGAGAAGGGGACTGACCCAGTGTTACTGTGGTGTGTAGATGACCTCCTTTCAGCTGCACCAACCCGAGACCGGTGCTGGGAAGGCCCTTGCCAGCTGTTTGAACTGCTAATGAAGACAGGGTACTGGGTGCCCATGAAGAAGGGGCGCAGGTCGGGGCAGGGTGGGCTCACTGCATGCTGACCCCAGAGCTCGGGAAGGGTAGAGTGCATGGCCCAGACTCTCGGGGAAGCTCTGGCTTGGTTCCACTGGGAGGCTGGACTGATTTGCTGCTGCTGGCGCTGCTTAGGGTTGGGAGTGCCCCTAGCCCTTCGGGCTGTGCCCCGTGTGGATTATTCTTTGGGAAACCTCCTCCCATTCTGAGAATAGACAATGAGGGACCCCAGACAGCAGGAACTCCGGGTGGTGATGCTGCTTTCTGGGGAGGTGAGGCCCACTATGGCTTCTCCTGCCCTGCAAGTGGGAGAAGTCTCCACCATGGATTCGCAGACTCTGCAAGTAGGTTCTGCTCACCCACCGCAGCAGGGGTTGCCAGGAGCTGCTTTGCCTTCCAAAAATGGAGCTGCAGAGCCACCACCTTCACAGGTGGGCGGAGCCTGCTCTCCACCTGCATTGGTGACTGCAGCCTCAGTGCACCACCCCAGTGGGTGGAGGGCAGCTCTGTGGTGTCCCCAGGCCTGCGGGTGGAAAGGGGTCTTGGGGGCTTCCTGGGGTTCCTGAAACCAGAGTCCTGAGACCTTCCCAGGTGAGTGGAACCAGAGTCGGGGTACTGCCATTGTAGGTAAAATAGATGAGCCACGTGAGTGCCCCAGCTGGAGGACAGAGCATGCACGAGTGTTGCCATCTTGGAACTGGATAAGGCTTCTCTTTAGATTATAGGCTGCATGCTACTGCTGTGTGGGCACTGCAGCAGTCAGGTTCTCTGTGTAACTGGTTCTAATACTAATGGTTCTGGTTTGGAAAGTCATAAACTGAGGTCCAAGAGTGACCACCTGATTTATAGGGTATTTACAATGTCTAAGCTTCAGAAAGGTGCATTGTCCCTGTGAATCTAGGGACTTTTAGTAGAAAATTAAAGTGCTAGGGACTTTTAGCTTCCACATACTGAGTTTAAGTACTGAATTTAAGTATAGTCCTTCCCAGTGTGGGAAAGGAACTGAAATTAAAAGAGAGAAATAATTAAATCTGGATAAGTAGAAATGTATATAAAGGATATGAAAGTTTTAAACCTAGAATAAAGGAAACCTCAACTACTTGTTTTCTGGTTTTGTGGGAAAAGAGCAAATTTCTCTGCCACTGGTTGTTTCTGATCAGAAACCCTGTATACCTGAAGACCTAGAAAAGGTCACTGTAGCCGGTTGGAAAGGATGCCTTTGCCACCCAGGACCCAGGAAGGGTCATTAGGGGCTGATAAATGTTTCAGCCTGAGGCAAAGCAGCATGTCTCTGCCATGAGACCGGGCCTGAAGGAGCATGTCTCTGTGAGGCACCAGTGGACGCATTGGTGCAAGAGAATGCCTCTACCTGTGTATTGTTTCAGAACTCTGTGTTTCGGGTTTTGCTCTGTATCTACTCTGAGAAAGGAAATTGAGGATTCCAGAAAAATTTGAAACTTCATACTCTGTAAGAAAATGAACAATAGAAAGTATAAGATTTATAAATAAAGAAGTATATGAAAGGATATAAAAGTTTTTTAGATGTTGCTGAAGGTCTGTGGAAAGCTGTGCAGATAGAAAAGGGTATGTAAAAGGTTGTAGAAGTTTGCAAAAGTTTTAGAAAGGAATTATGTAGAGTTAGTAATGAAAGGTATAAGGCATGTAGATGCAATCTTAGTAGGTATCAGAAGGAAAAGGATTTCCCATCACGCTTTGTATTTTTCTCTCTACCTGAACCCTCCAGAATTTGGCACTCTGAAGTAGTGAATGATAACATAAGGTTTCTTTGCATAAAGCCAGTAAGACCAGTCATTAATAGTAGTTTTTTTAACCAGGACTTTGACCGGAACGTCATGCCTGAAGAAGGCATATATGGGTTCTGGTCATTACCAGAAAGCTCTGAGGAACTGGGATTGACCTGTGAAGCTAGCGAAAGCCCATGAGAAAAGCCTGGTACTTTGGTTGGTTATGTGGTTCATGCCAGTCTTTCCAGGGAAGGAATGAAGGTTGCTTTCCTGAAAGATGGCTAAAAAGGAACCTGTAGGCAGAATAGAGGCTCGAGGATTTGAGTGAAACAACTGGTACAGGCGAAACCAGATGGCTAATGTGTGGCTCTGCTTCTGTGCCGAGGGGCGGACTGAGAAGTCAATCTAAGAGTTCCCTGTGTGAGTTCAAGCAAAGCAGACTTAAGGATCACAAATGATCCAGGCTACTCTTGGTATGTTTATACAAATGAACAGTCAAAATCAAAAGTG